ATTAAAAATTTTAATCATTATATATTTTATTTTTTATATTATAATTTAAACAAGAAAAATTAAACCTTTATTTATATCCCATTAAAAAAAATCTAACTTGTCCCCTACTCATGCCATGATCATGCTTAGACATTACAAGAAACAATAGAAGATTTTCCAATAATACATAACAAGATAATATACTATATAGTGATATATCAAACAAAACCTTCAATCATTCAAAGATCATAACTCCCAACTGTAGTTTTAGATTGTACCAAATCAACATACTCTAAATCATAACTAAATCAGGTACTGTTTTAGGGGATTTCATCAATCTATCCTTACAACTTTACAAACATAGAATGATATGAAAGCTTTGGTTTAGTCTCATTTGACAAGATGTGACACTCATCTCTCTCTCTCCTCTCTCTCTTCCCCTCTCTCTCTCTCTCTCTCTCTCTCTCTCTCTTACACACACTCTTTCTTTCTTTTTCTCTCTCTATTCATTTTGATCTTCTTTCTCTGTACACTTTCATATATTCAATTGTTAATTTCCATCCAAGGTGTTAGGGTTTCATGTTAGGGCAGAAAGCATGGAGCATGTTTCCTGGAGAAAAAGGCTGGCAAGAGCTAAGAAGAACCATAAGAGGTTTGCGATGAATCTCTCTCCCACTGAATATAAAGAGTTGTCTTTTCAGTTCTCTCCCAACCTATCAGGTGATGTTACTTCTCCACTATCATATGGAATTTGTAATCTGCTTATCCTATAATGATATCATTATCAGCTCACTTTAATTAGTCTCTTAATTAAGATTTGGATTTGAATCTTATGTAGATAATTTGTGTATAAATTTATACTTATTGATCTAAACATAATTTTAAATTTTCCCAAAAAAAAATAATTTTAAATAATTCATTATATAAGCTATACAACATCAAAAATTTTGTAATCTTTGTTGTTCAGTGATGATTATTTTGTGAATTTTATGCTATTGTCATCTCAATTGAAGATCAAATATTGTATTTGGTATGTTAAATAGTATTTGTGAGAATTTTATTTTGTTTGAATGCTCATTGTTGAGATTACTTCCAATGAGATAATTGTTAGCTTCTTGTTTAAATATTATATGATACAAATATTTTTAAAATAATAGTTCATGAAACACTTCAGAAAACGCCGCCCTTCCAATGACCAGATTAGGAGAGTAGATTATTAGCTTAGCTTCCTTGTGTTATGAGGTTAGAAAGTATTAAAAATGTCAATTTTATCAGATTTCAATGAGAATTTGATTCTTAATAGGACACAATTGTGAAAAATGATTCATGCAGGCAACCCTATGTAGTGGGATAAAGACTTAGGCTTCATTTGGGACAACTTTCTTCTTGCTTCTTAAAACAGCTTTTTAATACAAAAATTAAATTTTTTTGTACTAAAAAACTGTTTTAAAAAGTAGTAAGAAAGCCGTCCCAAAAAAAACCTTGATATTGATATTGTTGTTATTGTGGTGGTGGTGGTGGTGCATGAAATACTTTAAGGCTTCAAAGTAGAAAATATATTTTGCATTAACTTTTGTAGGTTTCATATTTTAGAGCTCCACTTTTAGCAAATAAAGAAGAGTAAGAATAGTATCATTATTATTCTCTTCATTTTAAATAGCTTAATCTCATGATCATGAGACCATGAAAGTGATTACCAACCCCCTTCTTCTTCCCTAGGTTATTTTTTCACCAATATTTTATTTAAGGAATTTATTAATAAACAACATTGCAATCAATCCAAATCAAAATAAAATTTCAAGTATGCATATTATGCAAGAATAGCCTATTTTATCCAATGAAATATTCACCCTACAAAAGGTATTTGAGAGAGCATGGGTTGGGGGTGATAGAGAGAGTAAGATGATGCATGATCTTACTAATTGTTCATTGGTCTAGTACTTGAAACCCTAATTCCCAACTATGAGATTATAAGTTATTAGGTTCTACATCTACTCATCATATTGCTTTCTATTCTTCGGAAAAAAAAAAAGCATTCTATTGGGCTCTTGTATCAAATATTTGACCCCTTCAATGACTCACTAGAGGTGCTGAAATAGGTTTTCGGATCAGGTTCGAGTCCAACTCAAAACTGACCTACCCACATTTGCTCCAACCTAAACCCGACTCGATTACACAAACATGTCATAAATATGACCCCAAACTTGACTCACCCCAAATCTGGGTCAACTTGACCCAACATACAGACCGACTGAGCACAGAGCACATGTACGAGCACAACTGCGTGAGATGCAATGCGAGCTGGAGTCTGGACACGATCATGCAGTGCGATCGTGAGCGGGACGCCATCTTGCAATAAGGGCAAGAGTAAGACGTAATGCTAGAAGCAAGCATAACAAGCAAGCTACGAGACATAGTACGCGACCTACGTGAGCAAGGGTCTGCCAATGCACGTGGTGCAGGACACATGTCATTTTCAGGTTAGTAGGTTGACCTGAACCCAATCAATTCTTCAAACAGGTTCGGAATTAGAACCTAAACCCACGAGTTGACCCAAAATCGAATTTTCTAGGTTGAATTTGTGTTGGATTTTCGAATCAGGTTCTAAATTGACACCCGCACAACCTATGTTGCACCGATACGGATACGGCGACACGGATACGATACTGATACGGGACATGTCAATTCTTAAAAATACAGGATACGGGTACGGCGCGGACACGACATTATAATTTATATATAAATCATACATAAAAATTAAGAAAGCAATCAAAACATAATATTTGAAATTACAAAAAAAATGGCAACAACATCATTTGTAGCATTGTAGCTTATAATACCAAAATATAAGTAAGTATTAAATGTCTAGTACAACAACAAAAGCATAAACATAAATTATCTAGCACATGAAGTTTCAACTATTCAATAGAAGGAATGATATAATTATCATCTTCATTGGTTTGTCTTTGAACTTCCATATCATATTCAATAAATATCATAGCTTCTAATTCAAGCTCATCAAGTGAAAGATTAATAATTTTTAATATTTTCATATCATCAAGAGACTCAAATCCATCTCGGAAATGAGAGAATCTTGCTCGCAACCGCGGAAGTAAATTCGACATGTCTTTTTTTCGGTTTTCTTTTTGTTTTTCAACGGACACGCGTATCGGATACGCGTGTCCTTTTTAAATTAAATAGTATTTTAATTGGATATGGCTTTGGCGTATCAGACACGTATCGGTGAAGTATCGGAGGCGTATCCGTGTATCGGATACAGCACGCCTTCATAAATAGGTGTATCGGTGCAACATAGCGCACAACTCACCCTAAAATTTGTAATCGACTTCATGCTTATTTTATAAAATACACATGAAATAAATTTCTATCCTTTAAACAAATTAAGGTACACAATCCGGGAGAGAAGAAATGCGTAAATCTTAAATTTCATCATTAAAAAGATCAAAGTATACAAAAGTGTGTGAAGTAGATCTGTTCATCAAAGTAAACAGTATGTGAAGTATATCTATATAACACCACCATTATAGACCCAAAATGTTCTTATCGGCTATTTAATTGGTTCAAAAGGAAGAAAGGCCAAAAATCTATAGAAACCTTACCACGTTTAAGTCTTCAGGCTTCAGATCCCACTTTCCTTAGCTCCACTGCTTCTCCAGAAAGACAACAATGGAAACTGCGAGAGCCAAGAAGACCGTGAACCCTTCTCTGTATGTTCTCTCCAAAACTTTATAATATGAAGACTTTCTTCCTCAGTTGACCTCTGAACTACAATACGAGATGCATAGCCCATTTCTCTCATCATTGAGCATATTTGTGAAGGATTGTTGGCAGTGAGAGTAACCATATAAAGCCATCCCTTTTCTGACAACAAGTTGTGCACTACAGGGAGGATCCTATCGATCACTTTCCGGCCATTCTCGCCTCCTGCCCAAGAGGAAGTAATCCCTTCGCAACCAACTTCGTCGTCCGGCGTCGGCACGTAAGGCGGATTGACGACGATAACATCCACCATTCCTGCAAGGCGTTTTCCCAGGCCTAAAGCAAGGTCGGTGCAGATGATCTCGGCATGGACGCCGTGAGCTTCGAGTGTCGCTGCGGTGGTCTCGGCGGCATGAGGATTGATGTCAGTGGCAAAATACTGTGCCGCAGAGCATCCTTGATGAAGCATAATGGCTAGAGATGCAATTACATAGCCACTGCCGCATCCCACTTCCATGCAAAACCTTGGTTGCATATTTAGAAGGTTTGTTCGATCAGCTAGGAGAGCATCAACCAGTGCAAAGGAGTCATCGCATGGTTCATAGACCTCTGGGTGATTACTAACTAGCCGGATTTGAGCAATATTGGAAAGCATCTTCGATGAAGCCTAGAGGAAAAAATTTAGGCAATTTTGAAGTAGGATGCAAATATTTGAGCTATTAAACTGATAAACATAAACATAATATGAACGGGAAGATCAAACTGCAATTTGAAGAAATTTAACGGCTCGCATATTCAATTTTTTTGTGCCTAAAACAATTGGTATATAAGGCCACCAATGGTGTTTTCTGGGCAATTACAACAGTATAACTTGTCATTAAAAACCGTATTTCTAATTAATCCAAATTATTTGACTGCTTGCATGCACATACATTCATTTTACTCTTTATTATCTTAGTATGTTGATAGGAAACACTTCGCAAGTAATCCTAAGGGAAATACTTGAATTCGCAAGCAAACCTATCACTAATTGGTGAAAACAGCAAGAATAATGCAAAAATCTGGGTGAAATCAGTCCCAAAACGATAGATTGTAAGGGAATCAAAGTCAAACAAACACCAAGCAAGATACAAGTGATCCTCAATTTGAGAGGAGGGTCATTCTCTCCCAATCTCTAGATAAGGAGTCTAAAGCCCAAGACGTCACGGAAACTTCAGGAGAAACAAATCAAAGCATGCCCTAACCCTAAAACATCTCCTCCTATTTAATACATAAACTTTCTAAATCAAAACTCCCTCCCCAGCCCTAGCCGCCCCCTCCTTTCCCTCTGTAGATTTAATTTGAATAGTGGGACCCACTATTGTGGGCGGCAAAGAGAGGAGGCGGCGGTATTAATCAACCTTCTATAAACAAAAACTGGCCCCGGGTGGGCGGGTTCAGGAGGAACCGGCCTAACATATGAATCTATCTTAAACATATTCATGCATGATTTTTTATACTAACCAAACAAAACTTGAGAATACAAGCAGAGAATTCTAACATGCAATAATTAAGCTTTGTTTCCAACACAAATCATAAACACAGAGATACTTTGTATTTATAAATACACTACAATCTAGTAGGATGTTTTATGTACTATGAGGTGTGAGAAATTTGGGCAATTTTTTTATTTACCTTAGCATTAAGAATCCCCTACAGTTAAGTAGAATGTTTATACTTCTATGATGTGCAAGAACTTTGTACCATTTGTGATTTAGGCTTCGTTTGGGACGGCTTTAGTTTATAGTACAAAAACTTAAATTTTTATACTTAAAAGCTGCTTCAAGAAGCAGTAAAAAAGTCATCCCAAATGAAGCCTTACTTTAGCATCTGGAAGCAAAAAATTACAAATAATTGGACTGATGATTTCAAGGCGATATTTATTAAGAAGAAAATGAAATGAAAATACTGGTATATGGCTCACTATTGCTTCACACCGCCTGGTGTTACCAGAATTTGAGTAATTTTAATCATTCTTTAAAACATTAAAGATAGAACCAAACTAGCATGCTCATTTCCAATTATATGTCAATCTAGTAAAATGAATAAGGAGGTGTTTTCTCTATAAGGAGGTGTTTAATTATCTGAAATTGTTTCTAAAACCTGACGGTTTTCTCTTCCTGGCATGAGAGCTATTTCTTTCCTACCTATTTCCTCTTCTAGTCTTCTATCTATCTCTTCTCTCCACAAGTACCTTTCCATTGTATATTTCTTCTCTACAAATAGTGTGAGTGGTGTTGTTGGCCGATTTGTTGGTATTTGTCGGAGGAGTGCCGATGGTTGTTGGATCAAGATTGCTGTGGTGGACAGCTGGTTTGAATGTTCTTTAGAGCACCTAATTTTTCCTAATCATATTGATACATGCGAGGTGACCTTTAAGGTTGTTCTGAGGGTAGTGTTTTTATAATTTTGTCTTTTCTTTCTAAAGTCCTCTTTTATGTTTCTTGCATCAGTATGTTTCATTGTCGGTAGTTTATTAACTTTTTTTTTGTTGAGTTCTATTTTGTTTGTCTCTAGTGTTCTGCTTCTTGGCTTTTTTTTTAATCTTAGATCCCATCAATAAGTTTGAATAAAAATAAATTAAAATAAAGTAAAAACAATTATAATAATGGTTGCAGGTTCATAAACAGGTAAGAAATTTCCTGAAATGCATTGCATATCCTTTATTACACTCAAAATCCTATCAAAGCTTATGTGATGATTGCAAAATAGTTTATTAAGAACATAATGTTATGAGAATGCTAAAATGTGGCTTACCAACTTGTTACTTCTCTTCTTGTCTATCATGTCTGGATTCAAGGAATTCGCATCAAAACTGTGGTCCATTACAACTCACGAACATAGAATACCTATCAAACATAAAATTAACTGTAATAAATGCAAAGCATGTTTATCCAACAAAAGTTATTTGCACCTGAGAAAAATCATTCAGGAGAGATTTCAACTACAATTCATTTAAGGAGAACCACTTTAAAAAAAAAAAAAATGATCAGCAGAGATTCCACCCTAGAAATGTGAAATTTGAGACCATTCAAAAAGATTCATACATTCAAAATATCAAGCACCACCAACATTATTCTAGAGGAAAAAAACATGGAAGAAGATGATGGATGACAAGCGAAATGTTTGGAGTGATATGCTAGGCAGCCATATCTTCCTCTATTTGAGTGAAAAAGTTTTGAGGAAAGGGACTCAAGTTGCTCCCAGATGGCTTCTATGGGGGCTTACCTCAACCAATCTAGAGAAAAAAGGTAGAGGTGGAGAAATATGCAGATAAGAAGAAATTGGTATGCACTTGACATCATAGATGGAGTATAAAGTTGCACAATTCCTTCTTATTTTTATCATGTAATTTGTAAATGTGTCCATGCAAGCCCTTCTAGCTACCTCCCTCCTCCCTCACTCGCAACCCCAATCCTCTCCTCAACCCACCCTATCTCTCCCTGTCATTGTCACATCTGGGGTACCAAACTTTAATTTTCTTTTAAGTTTTTTTTTTTTTTTTAAAGAACCGGAATTTCAAATATATAATTCATCTAAATGTTGAGTAAATTTTCAATAAGTGGGTGGAGTAACACAATTTTTGATATGATTTCCAAACCTTAATTATCTAAATGTTTAAGTTTTTTTTTTTTTTTTAGAACCGGAATTTCAAAGATATAATTCATCTAAATGTTGAGTGAATTTTCAATAAGTAGGTGGAGTGTCACAATAAATGTTGTGGCTGTCCTGGAATCAAATGGCTTGACTATAGATAAGCTCAGGGTAGATGGCTTTTGGGATGTAGAGCAATTGTGTATGTTTTTCCGATTGGAGCTTGTGGAGAGCATATGCCAAATTCAAATAAGACCAAAATTAGAAGAGGATATATTGAATCTGTTATTTCAAAAGTCGGGCGAAACAATTTCTGCTATGATTTCCGAAGTGTTAATGAAAAATCAATCCTCAGTTATTTACTGGAATTGGGTGAGGAAGGCTAAGCTTCTCCCTCGTGTTGAGGTTTTTTGGTGGCACGTTTTTAACAAGGCTATCCCAACATTTCATTTTCTATCTTATAGAAGATTGCAGAACAATTTCTCATGTCCTAGAGGTTGTAATGCGATTGAAGATATAGACCATGTAATTGTGAAATATGCGAAGCTGAAGGAGGTTTTGCAAGTTTTGAATAGCTGTGGTTTTTTCTATCCTAATTTTGAAACATTGGATGATTGTTGTCAATACGTGATTCGGCTGAGTTCAAGTAATGTTTTCTTACTAAAATTATATTGCAATATCGTTTATTATTCATGTAAAGCTAGGAACAAATATGTTCATGAAGGCATTTGTGATAGTCCTTCCTTGATTGCTGCTCAATCGGTGAACTTGGCTTCATTCTCTTCTTTGGCATTTGGCTTCAACTCGGGCAACTGGAGTGTTAATTAGTCCTCTAGACTGTTAGTAAATTATTAGCACCCTCCTCCACCCAAATGGATCAAATTAAATGTTGATGCAACTCTTTTACAATCATATAAAGCCGGTGTTGGTGGTGTACTCCGGGATAGCAAGGGAAGATTTCTTTTGACTTTTGAAAGTAAGTGTCTTCACTGGAATATTGCTCGACTGCAATTTTTTTCTATTCAAGATTTTAAGGAATTTATCAATGATTTGATGTTCATATACAAGGGAATTATCATCAAAGGCGATAGTCATAATATCAATAAATTCCTAGTAAGTCCGACAAAGGAGGGTGGTCAGTGGATGGAGGAGCTTGCATTTTTAAAGGATTTTAATCATATTATTTTTAATTGTGTAGATAGGGAATGTAATAAGTTAGCAGATTTATGTGCTAACTTTGCTTTGTTTGGAGATTTTTTTGGGACGATGTTAGTAGTAATAAGGTTCCTCCTTCGTTTGCTAGTTTGTTAAAGGAGGAACTGGAAACTTTTGCTTTGTAGTTTATAATAATTTTTCTCTATTTTTAATAGCATTTTCTTTGCTTCTTCAAAAAAACAGAAAAAAGGGTGGAGTGTCACAAAGAAATATAGATCAGTCATAGTTACCATCAACGCTTTACAGTTATTACTAATGAAAGAAAGTTTCAACTTGTTCGCACCAAAAATGACTATAACCAGTTGAAGTAGTTGTCGAAAGACAACTTCTTTGGCTTGGGCTCATTTACTGCACACAATCAAGAAATGGAGACTACTCGAGAAACTATCCTTGAAGAAGACAATCTGATGCTTAAGTCATGCAATAAATTTATGGGAGAGAGATAAGAACAATAGTAGCTCAATAGAGCTTTTTCAGGGAAAGAAGTAAAAAAGATGCGCATCTTACCTTACCCACTAGAGGTATCTAGTGTTGGAAGGGTATTGACGTACATCAAAAAAGTGTATGATGGATAAATGATAATCGAATCAACTCATCCTTGATATCAATGTTGGATCAAAACACCCCTTCATCAAGAGCATTTTAAACATCTGAGTGGTCAAGTCATCCTTAACATCAGGTAATAAACAGAAGACAAATTAATGTTCCAGTAAATGTAGTTTCTATGAATGCCAATGTCGTCAAAAATGAAAAGGACTTTTTTTTTTGGGTGTACCTTGAGTAACTCATCTATAAAAATTTATTGATATTTCCTGGTTGAGGATGATTTGATAGTTAAGTGATTTCATGCTATGTTTAACTTTGAGAAAATGCATTGGATTATGTTTGATAAGTAATAATTAATTTATTCATGTTTCAACAAGAAAAAGGGAAATTGGGTCATTTGATCACATATAGCAGAAGCACAGCAACCAGTGAGTTGGATTTTCCGATAAATAGTAATTTTTTCAGCCACAAGAACTTCAAAAAAGTGCTTTTACCATTAAAAATTCACAATTTTTTGCTGATAACTGCATCCGTTCCAAACATACCCAAAAATTACCTACCCTAACCAAGATCCACTTGATTTCAGTCTGCAACCAAATGCCACAAGATCATCCTAGCTAAAACTAGATCCAAAATCATTAGACACGTGTATAGTCCCAAATCAAAGAAAATAAAGTTAAATAACTGTCTAAAAATAGTAAATATTCATCAAAATGGCTGAAATTCTAGAAATTTAGGAAATTCTTACCCAATTATGGCTCATGTCCACCTACATCATTCTAATTCTTGAACTTTCATTAAGTGTTCCTCCTAATCTCATCAAAATTTGGATTATTCATCTAAGAATCTATTAAGCATGCCCAAATAAACAATCAGTAATCACAAGTAGATCAAGCATAACATGATTATGATAGGAAACACTTGAAGATTTCAAGTAAATCCTATCATTTTCGGAAAAACAGCAACTCTTTCAAACTTCAATGAATAGAATGGAAAAATAATAGTTTTTATTGCAATAATCAAACTAACGGATAAAAATAGCGACATGCAATTGATCCTCAATTTGAGAGGAGGATCAATCTCTCCCAATCCCTAGATGCCACTAGAGCCCAAAAAAAACCAAGAGATCTCAAATTTTAACCAAATTCAAGATGCTCTAACCCTAGGAAAACAAACTATTTAAAGCATACAATCAAAAAGGAAATATCTAAACAGTCTCTACATTCAAATTTCCCTCCTAACTCCCTCAAAAAACATTCCTAAACAGCTCTTTCAGACCTGGTGGCTTGCGCAACTCGTACAGGAGGCAGAGCTTCCGCCTGTTTTGTCTGTAAGCCGGTCCCGTATGGACCAAATGGATCGGTCCAGTGGACCGGTCTAACAATACTCACCTTGTCCGCAAGGTGGAAAGACGACACCCTCTTCCATTCCCTCATCCATCACAAATGGTAAAAACTTGAAGAGTTTGATCCTTACACCTGTGCCCCGGAGTATACCTCTCGTCACATCTGAAACAGAGCCCAGTTGCCCTCTTCTCCTGTAATTTCGTTTCTGTGAGCTTCTTGAAGTTGTCCCAGGTCTTCCTCCAACAATCTTTTCCTTAGAAGTCCCCCAAAGACTATCCAATGTTGGCTTCTTGGATGCCAATACAGGGGTGGTCATCCTGTACGAGTCTACTGAGCTATTGCCTCCCGTTCCTCTCTCCAGGAGCCTCTGATCCTCCACCAACTGAGAGATCTCAAATTTCAACCAAATTCAAGATGCCCCAACCCTAGGAAAACAAACTATTTAATGCATACAATTAAAAAGGAAATCTCTAAACAGTCCCAACATTCAAATTTCCCTCCTAACTCCCTCAAAAAACCTTCCTAAACAGCTCTTTCATACTTGGTGGCTTGCACGACTAGTACAAGAGGCGGAACTTCCGCATGTTTCATCTGTAAGTCGGTCCAGTATGGACCAGCTGGACCGGTTTAACAGATTAGCATGTTAATTATCTCAAATTTTTTAATAAGCTAGTAAGGGTTTTTATGTAAAGCATGCATAAGACGCAAGGGTGGCTACCATTTGGTGCCCAAAATAGTGAAATTAAGCAATGCTACGTTAGTGAGAAGAGAGTGAGAGGAGAGATAGAAGGCATGCAATATACCACCGATGGATGGAGCTAAAAGATATCATGTGAATTTTATTGGTGATCTCATTGCCAAACATAAATTATTAATGAGAGAAGTGATCTTTTTACTAAGGCCCATATGGAGTGTGAAAGATCTAAGTACAAACAACAAGAACAACAACATCAAGCCTTCCCACTACGTGGGGTCGGCTACATGAATCATTTTTCTCCATTGTGTCCTGTTAAAAGTAAAATTCTCATTTAAATCTAAGAAAAAAAAGTCATTTCTAATATTTTCTAACCAAATCTTTTTAGGTTTACCTCTACTTTTCTTAACATAAGTCAAATCTAATACATCTACTATCCCTAACCGGTCATCGA